GATGTAAAGAAATGTTGCTACACACTCGTGTACAGTAGGTGGCGGTATGCACCTTAAAGTTGCTTGCAATCCGCCATAATAGAAGAGAAGAAGAAGAAGAAGAAGATCTCGTCGCTGAAGCATCGCCTCTGTTGGGTATGAGCTCAGCCTGCTACTTGTTGTCTTCTAGAGAGTTTACATTACCTTTGTACCTGTGCCTTCTTGTTTACAGAAGCGACCTCCAGTACTTTAAAGCCAACCTTGGAAACTGAGCCAAACTCACCTGGATCTCATGCGCTGCTTCCAACGAAACACTGTAAATAAATCTGCACTTGTAAAATACTCACCTGTGGAACTTCACCTGTTGGACCTCCTCCAAGTTTCATCTCCTTCATCAACCTGTAAGCCTCATCCACAATCATTATCAACTCAAAATCATACCGGACAGCCTACCTGTTATTCACCTCTGCAAATCCTCTGTTTAAGGTCCCGTCCCCAGATCCCAGCACTATTGTAAATAAAATCACTTACCTTTTTATATTTATCTGTCTCGGTCTCTGTTTTATCATTGGTATTTGCTCACGTTGACATCCACCTGAAAACCTGATAGGCAATATAGTGTCGGTGCTAGTGGTCGGTGGATATAGCTCACTAGCAGCCTCGCACCGAGGACCTATCCACGTCATCATTTACCCAGAATGCTTTGTGTGGAAATAAAATGGCCCCATCCGTGTTAAAATGTATTTTTAAAATTTTACAAAACTAAACAGCCTACAGTATTTTTACAGTCTTTATTTTACTGTTAAAATATGTTTATCAAATAAAGTCTAATGTTACAACTAATCAGGGAACCCTGAAACTATGCAAAAATACATTTACTGCAGTCTACCTTCCCAAAACAAAAATGAGGGCTATGCTAGTCTTGGTTGGTTTTTTATTGAGGGGATAACACATGCTGCATAACGCATTTAAACAGCACAAAAAAGCACCAACATTTAACTATTGAAAACTATCTTTATAAAAACAACTGTTTTGGGTGTCTCTGAAGAGATAAAAAGGAAGAATATAGGAAATCAGAGGCTCCTTTAGTTATAGGTTTTCTAATACTTAACTCAAACTTATCCAGGAACATTTCACACAGCTCACCTCAAGGACATGCACCAGAGCCTCACTTGCCTCTCGTACTCGTTTTGGAGGAGCAGACACAGACGGAAACAGCGATGGCAGGGCATGAAGGATCTCCAGAGCCTGTTCAGCTGTACAGGAAAAGATCGGGTACAATTGGGTAAAAAAGAAAAAAAAACAGCTTTACAATGCATACAAGGTCAAATCTGATCAAAGTTATAAAACTATTTATACAAAAACATTTAGGAAGTGACTGCTTTCTATACTCATTTTTTGTAAGACCTGTTTACACACTTAGCCATCATAAAGCAAAAATAAAATAAATTTAAAAAATAGTTAAAAGTCCAAAACTCATGGACACATTTAAACCCTGATCACAAATAATTCCAAAGTATAATTGCTTTCCTTTGTCCACCCCCATTGGTGGTTTCAGCGTTTTTTTTCCAAACACCAAAAAACTGCACCTTCTGGCAGAAGTCTTTCCATCTTCCCTTTAGTTCAGCTATGTAGCATGGGTTATCTTTGTTCAGAATGCGTTGAAGCTTATCCATGACCTATTCAATGAAGGAAATTGTCTGAAACATTGCAGGTTATATCAAGCATTTAAGAATGCAAAGTATTGACTTACATGTCCAATGTCCTTGAAACAAGGATATGCTTCTATGATCTTGTTGTGTCTGTCCTCCTCTCAAAAACTATCTGAATCAATGAATGCTCTTCTGGCTTGAAATTCCAAATCCAGAAGATGAGACACATCCTGGTGGTTTGGATTCTTTTTTTATACAAAGATTGTAGGGTCCTGTAGTGCTTGGCCGAGATTGCTGGACTGTAGTTGCATGAGCTTTCAACATCTG